TACAGTGAAGGCAGAAGTAGCCATGATCATCATTACAAAAGTTTTAACTCATTCAAACAAAAATATTATGCTTAAAAGAAAAGGGCATGCAGTGTGTTGAATACATCATGATTGATTTATGCAATAATATGTTGCAGATGTTGATACTTCAAGCCGTGCATTTATAGCCTGGGGGCGGGAAGAGCGCCAGGACCGTCCCAGTCAGTCACAATGTGCTGACGAGTGATTTCTTTGAGGGAACGACAACCACTCAGTGCCATGGTTAGTTCGAACTCTTCACGCAGCATCGAAAGCACTTTCCTCACACCAGCTTCTCCCTCAGCAGCCAATGAGAATACCACCGGTCGACCAATCTGAGTTTAAGACCATTACAGAACAAGTATCTACTCAGAACTTGTGCCATTTAGTACGACATGGACAACTATATGTCTATGATAAGCAGTACTTTCAACTACTGTGCCAAAATGCAATGTGTAATGCATTTCCATTAGGCAGTCTTATACTTACAAATATACCAGAGGCTCCCAGTGCTAAAGCTTTGAAAACATCGGTTCCACGCCTAACACCACCGTCCAAGAAGACTGGCACCCGCCCTTGTGCAGCCTTCACAACCTGGAATTGAAGAATTTGTCAAAAATGCAATTTTGGTATTGTTGACTCATGTTAGAACAAGTCTGAAATCGTTGGCATACCTCTTCCAGGGCCGTGATAGTGGCAGGAACGTAATCGAGCTGGCGAGCTCCGTGGTTGGAGACAATGATGCCAGCTGCTCCAGCCTGTACCGCTATCCTTGCTGCGAGAGAAGCATATGTTATCAAAATGGCCGGAGAAGAAGAGAAGTTAAACTTTTCTTACCATCTTCAGCAGTGAGTACACCCTTCACAAGAATTGGCAAGCTGGTAATTGTCTGAAGCCATTTCACATCCTATTCGTAGTTGATAAAGTTCATTCAGCGCGCCGTTAATCGAAAGAATCTTTAGGCATAGCCAAACCAAGCTCATGGTCCAGCTGAGGACCATGCATATACATACCTTCCAGCTGAGGGTACGATCGATTTGTCCAGCAACATATGAAGCAAGTCCTGAGTCATCAGCCTGCATGGCTCAGATGAACAAATTGAATATTAGAAGAAACATAAGCTCATTACTGGAATTTAAAGATTATAAGGTTGTTTACTAGGTTGCAACAATTCAAATGACCACTCACTTTATCCATCTTGCCCAGGTCTAAACCTTCAAAGTTCTTCAATGTCAAAAACGGTGGCAGAGTGAACCTGTAAGAGAATATTGAAACTGAAGATTTCTGGAGTGTAACTTTGACTTTCATACATTCAGAAATCAAACATCTAATGCTAAGGTAAACTAACTGCGACATGAGATATTTCTGCTCATAGGGAAATTGAGAATTCGAAGGGATAATGTTACCTGTTCTTGATGTCAGCTTCTCTGCGACCGAGCCTTGGAGTATCAACTGTAAGAGCAATTGCCTTGAAACCGGCCCTTTCGGCTCTTCTCACGAGCTGTGCAACTACATTCCTGTCCCTGTATACCTGAAGGATGGACACAAGAGATAAGTTATCACATGAAGCCTAAAAAACTTATCCCCATGAATGAATAGTTAGATTAAACAATTGGTTTTTAAGGAACATCATTTCAAACTTACATAGAGTTGGAAAAACCTAATGCCTGGTCCTGTTGAAGCAACCTCCTCAACACTAGAAGTGGCCCATGAAGATAATGTCTGAAATAATCATTTAAATAACACAGTTTATTCTTTTTGTCAAAGATAGGCACTTATGATCTATATTACTCGGACTTTCGTTTTCCTCGAAAATAGTATCAATGGAAAGTTAGAGTTTGAAGCCAAACCATAATTGTTCCAGCTGCTGATGCAGCCCTGGCCGTTGCATACTCCCCTGTCAAAAATCGAGGGATCTTGTCATTAGATTGTCAATCAAATTGCTTTCAGTGAAACCATGAAGGTTCATACTAAATTATGTTTAATGATAATAAAAAAAACTAATGGGATATACACATGATGTATTGATCCAGTTCCAACTCTTCCTGTAAATGTAATAAGATCTACCATGAAAGAGGCTACAAAGCTAAGATTGTTAAACATAGCAATGCTCTTAAAGGAAGTGCTTATGTATAATAATGAATACATGTGCAAAGGAGGATACTCCTTTACAGTTACATACCTTCAGGATGAGCCATTTTCTGCATGGCAGTAGGGGCAAGCATGATGGGCATTGATATCTTGAAACCCAAAACAGTGGTAGTCATATCGATCCTACTTACATCGATGAGAATCCGTGGACGAAACCTAAGCATTTGCAGGAATAAAGATTTCATTTAATGGAGATCTAAACATTTAAGCAAAAAAGGAATAATAACCTAAAGATGTTTTGCAAAAAGAAGATGGATAGACAAGCTCACAGGATCCTTGAGAAAGCATTTCTGTTCTCCTGCAATGTCCACTGATCCTCAGCACCAGATGCATAGTAGTCATACACCATCTTTGGCAACTTTTGCTTTGCAATTCCCTCATACTCGCTCACATTGGTTATCTCCATCTTTGCTCTTAAATTTTTGTCTTCTGCCTGCAATTTTTTTCTACTAGTTAGCATCTTGGGGACAAAATACAATATAAAATAAGACTGATGATTTACTCATGAGCTAGAGCCATGTTTTCTAGATATTTTAGATACACATCCAGGTAAGTAAATGAAGGTTCATTAATCTATGTTACCTAGACTTGGCTAAGTGAGTGATGGATACGAATATATTCGAATCTTTCCCCCCCCCCATATATTTGGAGGATTAAACTCTCATGTCATATCCTAGTATGTGGTGGATTGAGTGGAACATTAACTATACAAGCTGTGCTTTGCTATTAGAACTTAAAAAAGGTAATTATGTTTCGTTTGTTTCCCGATAAAATTAGAACTCGTCACACAAGCAGGAAGTGGGGAAAACGTAAAAGACATAACAGAAACAAATTCAAAACACAGAATCATATGTTCAAAGTACATATTAATATGATAAAAAGGTGTTGAGCCAAATACATGAACACGAGAAAACATCACGTAAAGAGAATCACAGCAGAATCATTAATCAAAACCAACAACGCAACAAAGTAAAGAAAAGAGATTGAAAGAAAAGAAGAGAAAAGCATACCTCTTAGGTTACCAGACTATGCACCACAGTGCATGCAGAGAAATCAGTTAAAGAGATAAACTCTACTATATATCTCAATGCAAGAAAAAGAACACACAGATTGGCAATGAAGAAAATACCAAAGGGTTTATATACGAATCCGAAAGTTGACAAGAAAACAGTGGGGTACACGTAGAATAGATAAACCATACCAAAAAAGAGAGAAAAAAACAAAGGGAATTTTACAAGTTGAGTGGATGAGCATTTGGAGGTGAGAAATCCTGCTAAGAGTCATTGGGGAACTCTCATCCACATACACTTTGTGTGCTTCACAGCATTTGTTTGTGTATTATCGCATCTCATCCAAAAATAAATAAAAAGGATATGCAGCTTGAAGGTGTATAAAATAAAGGGTGAATTACCTATTTCATATCCCACTTATTCATGTGTTTCCCTTTTGGTCACTCAATTTTTTTTCTTTCAAAATTAACCTAAAAAAATGTTTTGTTTATATTTTAATATCATACCGTTAAAAAAAAAATAACGACAGTAATATGTCATATTTTCTATTTTTCACTTCATTTTATCTCTCTTAATAAGAAATTTACAGATCATTTTTTAAATAATTTTATTTAGACCGAGAAGATGGTAACACGTGTTGTACCATTTTCAAGAAAAATAAGGTGAAGAGTGGGATTCGGAGGGGTCATGTACTTGATCACTAAACTAAGATAAGAATTTTCAAAAAAAAAAACATCAATACTAATATTTAACTTAAACTTTGTCACTGTCTCAAGATTAAACCAAATTATTTTCTGACTTCATTTGGAAATAAAAATTAATTAAATAATTATTTATTAATTTTTATAAAATCTATATTAAATGTAAATAAAACTTATCGTTAGATATGATTTAAAAAATATAATTGAATAACTAAAATAAAATTATGAAAATAATTATGTTACCAAATAGGTAGTTTAGTCTAAAATAAAGTGAGAAAATGGTTGAGAATTGAAAGTGACAACAGTGGCTCTCCCTCAATCTATCACTATGAAAATCCAATGCTAACTGTTTCATATAGATTTTTAGCTTAATACTTCGCCCCTAAACTATAGATAAATTCTCAGTTTGGCCTCTCAAGATATTTGTTTTTTGGTTGTCCTTTCGGTTATCAAGGTTTCACATTGATTAATTTGGACTGACTCGGGTACTTGGTTTTGGTAAATGAGTTTCTCAACGGACATTTTCTGCATATACAATGACTTAAATTTAAGATATATTTAAGTAATATCAAGCTACTTAATACTTGAACCAACCCGGTTAATCTCAAATATATATATATATATTGTTAATTTATCTCCCGTATTTTCATTCCGTTTATCACATTATCCCTATCCATTATTTCATTAAAAAAAAGCTTATGTGACATAATCACACGCTGCTATGTATAATTTATATAATATTAAAAATTCTGAAAAAATAGTAAATTTAAAAATATTAAAAAATATATTCTTTGAAATTATATTTTTTAGAAAACGTAATTATGCTTAATCTTTTTAATGTAATGAACGTGTGATTGGATTATGTAGTATTTTTTTAATGGCAAAGTGGGAAGGAGTGACGTAATAAACAGAGATAAAGTATAGGGGGTAAATTGATAAAAACTTTTTGAGGGATTAAACTGAAAATTTATATATAGTACTGAGAAAAAGGGGAAATAAGCCTAGATTTTATCATTTGTTTCCTTAATTTGGGTCAAAGATTCTGGCCTTATCAGACCAAAACCCAACGAAAGTCCAAAGAAACAAAAGATCCACCCGAGTAAGAAACAGCCCAAGAAAGCCCTGGAATTGTGCCCCCGGAGACTTCTACAACATTCATTTGCCTTTTTAAAACACCACCAGATTTCTTCACTTGTTGTACCACAGGGGAGAAAGATCGAGAGAGAAAAAGAAAATGGCAGACGATATTGCCCTACTGGACTTCTGGCATAGCCCATTTGCAATGAGGGTGAGAATCGCATTGGCAGAGAAAGGATTAGAGTATGAATCAAAGGAAGAGGATTTGAGCAACAAAAGCAGTCTGCTGTTAAACATGAACCCTGTTTACAAGCAAATCCCAGTGTTGATTCATAAGGGGAAACCCATTTGTGAATCACTCATCATCGTTGAATACATCGATGAGGTTTGGCCTCACAAGCCTCCTCTGCAGCTGCTTCCGGCTAATCCTTACGACAAAGCTAAAGCCAAGTTCTGGGCTGACTATATTGACAAAAAGGTCAAACTTTACCCCTTCTTACATATGATTTTTAGCCATTTTTGTTGAATATGAACAAATTATGCAGATATATCCAACTGGGAAGCTGGTATGGGGAGCAACAGGTGAGGTCCAAGAAGCTGCAAAGAAGGACATAATTGAGAACTTGAAGGAGCTAGAAGGAGAGCTGGGAGAGAAGCCGTACTTCGGAGGTGAGAGCTTTGGGTTTACAGATGTGGCATTGATTCCATTCTACACATGGTTCTATGCATTGGAAACTTGTGGGGATTTCAGCATTATTCAGAACTGCCCAAAGCTGGTTGCTTGGACCAAAAGATGCATGCAAAGGGAAAGCGTTTCCAAGTCTCTGCCGGACCAATATAAAGTCTATTGCTTTCTCATGGACCTTAAGAAGAAGTTTGATGCCAAATAAGATGGTTTTTAATATATTTGAAGGATGTGTGTATTTCAGTATTTTAACTCTATTTGTATGATCATACTGGTTTTAATAGTGTTTTTATTATGCCGATGAAAGAAAACATTCCCCAAGTATAAGTATTGATGAAGTGTGCTTATTATGTAAATACTCTGTTCCTCCCTTTTTGTCCATCTTCTTCTGGTTAATAAGAAAAGAACATCAACAGAACGAGGGGAGCTTACCACGTCGCAGGATATAGTATAAACAAAAATTTCTGACGTATTTGTATGGAGTTTATTAATATAGTCGTTGTGGTTCTGACCAAAATTTCTCGAAAATGCCATCACTTGATATGTACAAATTTAAGAACGACGTTAACAAACTTTTAAACAAATGACATGTAATGAAATGATCGGGAATATTTTAATAGCAGATATTAGATTTTATTTCAATTAATTCCGTCAAGATATTTATCCTTGAAAGTTTATCTACATATGAAAATAAGTGTATCACATTGATATTTAACGATTCATCTCTTTTTTATTTTATTGAAGAATCACAATTAGCGATACAAGGATTATTAACGAACATCTTCTAAGAAGAAAAAATAGATGTCATAAAGAAGAATATAAGTGGAATAAACAAAGTTTTAAAGAGATTATCATGTTTCTTTTTGGATATTTATACCTCAGTTATAGGAAAAATAGGATTAGACTTACGTTAGTATTTTAGATATCCGTAATGATGGTTAAAAAATCTCACATATGTTAAGTTTTAATAATTTTAAAAATTTTATTTAAAATAAAAAATTATATTAAAAAACCTTATATTTTAAAATAATTTAAAAAAACTCCAAAACTTTAAAAATTCTCATTTAAAGCCCTAAACCCACATCAATCATCATTTTCTGTTACCGTCGAACCCTCACCCGACCTTACATCCACTCGACAACCAATAATCCATGAAAATCCACCAGAACATGAGCTAATCGACAATCAATCGATGTAACCCTTAACGCTACAAATATCGACCTCACGCGATCCCAGCAGTAAAGATAACGACACGTGAGTAGGGAGATGGAAAGGAGAACATCAAGGCGGTGGTCGTGGCTAGCAAGAACAATGTCGATGGGTTATGATTAGGAATTTAAGGATTTTAGGGTTTTAGGATTTTTTGTAATTGAAAATAAATTAGTATTTTTTAAATATAATATTTTTAAAATTTTATTTTTTTAAATGATCAGAACGTGATATGTATTATTTAATAAATTTTTTAAATAGATTATTGTAGTCGAAATACCTAAAATAATAATATTTATAATATTAAACATCTGAATTAATAAAAAAAAATTAAACACTACTTTAAAGAAAACGATATAGTTTAGATCTTAAGGCTTAAAATTAATTAGAAATATATGTTAATTTTAAAAATATTTTTTAATAGTGATATTATTAGGTAAAATCGCCCTAATGGTAGTGATGACGAATGCAATCGCGTAAGAGTAACCCGTACTGTTTCATTCAGTCCGCCCGAGACTACTGACGTAAGGAATGGCATATGCGAATCGTCTTATAGAATGCCCTAGAACTATTATTACAATAATAATAATATTGTTATTATCTTGGCATCGTCAGTAAATATTGAGTCATAAGCACGCAACGTTAAAAGCATTAGTATACCGTTAAAATAAGGTGTCTCAGTTTTGTTATTATTTATTTAAAATATTATTTTTTGATCAAATTTTTTTTACCATGTTTACTTATATAAATAATTATAATTGATAAAAAATAATGTTTTCAGTCATTTTTTATCGATTTTATTATTTAATATAATAATAAAACTAATAACGTCTTATTTTAACCGTATACTTGAATTTTGTACAAAAAAAACATTCTATTTGAATTTTTATTGGATAAAATATATGAATAGGTTTTATTAAGTCTTTATTATTAAAAAAATATAAAATAATTTTTTGATTATAGTGTTATTTTGTTGAATTTATTGATTATTAAAAGTTACAAAATGATCATTTGATTATTTATTATGTTTTAAATACATCTTTTTTTGTTAAAAAATCGATGATCGTTTGGGTTAGATGTTAACATGTTAAATGGGATAATCTTTTAAGATTATAAGATCAAATTTTATTATATCTTAGTCAGAAAATCAACGTCTAACATATACTGACATTAATTTTTAAATAGAAAAGTAAGATTTTAAAATATAATAAATAGTCAATTGATTATTTTAAAATTTTTAATAGTCAACATATTCAACAACAAAAAAACTCACAATTTAGGGATCATTTTATAACTTTTGATAGCTCAAATACTCAAAAGAATCTTATTCTATAGTCAGGGTACCATTGTGTATTTTACCCGTTTTTTACACGTTAATAATAACTATTATGATGCAGAAGGAAAATACAGATGGCAATCACTGATCTCTAAAAGTCAACAAACTAAACAATAGATAACTCTAGAATAAATATATATTTATTTCTTTTTCTTAGTTTTTCCAATTCATTTAATGGTCAGGGCCCAGGGGGAGAAAGACCTACCAACCTAATTGTTTTTTTTTTTGCGTTTAAATACATGGACGACGGCCCTCTAGTTTCACAACCGGCGAGAAAATAAAAAGGAAATACATACAATCCCTAGACAATTAGCTTCAGTCTATAGATTACAAGAATGGAAGGAGCTGTAGTATTATTAGATTTCTGGCCAAGTATGTTTGGGATGAGAACGAGGGTTGCTTTGGCTGAAAAACAGATAAAATACGAGTACAAGGAAGAAGATCTGAGGAACAAGAGTGAACTGCTGCTGCAGATGAACCCTGTTCTCAAGAAAATCCCTGTTCTCATCCATAATGGCAAACCTGTTTGCGAATCACTCATTCAGGTCCAGTACATCGACGAGGTCTGGAATGATAGAGCTCCTTTGCTCCCATCTGATCCTTACAAAAGGGCAACTGCTAGATTCTGGGCGGATTTTGTTGACAAGAAGGTACTTCCTTTTCTTCTTTTTAGTTGATCTGGGAATTATATATCGACTATGTTACTTCATCGGGCTGAATTGTAAATTATGAAATGCAGATATATGACCTGGGGGCCAAAGTATGGAAGACAAAGGGAGAAGAACAAGAAACAGCAAAGAAAGAATTTATAGAGAGTTTGAAGCTGTTGGAAGGAGAGCTTGGGGACAAGACTTATTTTGGAGGAGAAAATCTTGGATTTGTGGATGTTGCTTTGATTCCATTTTATTCCTGGTTTTATGCGTACGAGAAGTGTGGCAACTTTAGCATTGAAGCAGAGTGCCCCAAGCTGATAGCATGGGCTAAGAGGTGCATGCAAAAGGAGAGTGTGGCCAAGTCCCTTCCTGACCAAGAAAAAGTCTATGAATTTCTCCTGCAGATGAAGAAAATCTTCGGAATTGAGTAATTTTCAATTCTGGAATCCAGATTCCGGGCTTTTGCCTGTTATGATCTAAAATAAAATGGGCATTTAGTTATGCCTGCCTGGTTGGCTTTGTGTTCACCTTTTCGTTTCTACCCACTTAGCTGTGTGTATCGTACTGTCATTTGAAAATTCTGGAGTTTTTAAATTGAAAGTAATCAGTATTTGTTATACATGTTCTTTATCTTTTCTTTCCAGTTCTGTCAAGAAATGTTTTGATCATCTTTCTTCTCAATACATTAACAACTTGTATAAACTGTGTCCCATGGATATTGTGGCTCCAGCTAAAGCTTTGGCTTTGCACCGGTTCGTTTCCCTGAGTGGGAATGGAGAAACCGGAGCACTCTGGTTTAGCTGCATGGCAAAAGGGTTCCAGAGGTTCATTATCAGGACACCATAGAAGGCAATCCCAATGAGTGATTTGATGAAAATGGCAAGCACGGCTACAGACATCAGCTTCAACTTAGCATATCCTTGGATTTTAGCTTCTTGTTTTATATCTATTGAACGCTTGCTCCGTTACCAAAAATAAATGTGATATAAACTAAACCATGAATAAAATAACATAATTCTGAGTTCTTCTCAAGGAAGACGTACTATTTTAATATCAAAACGAAACATTAGGTAGATCACTTGGGGAATTAATACCCAAATTTAGGGATGTGAATAAGATTAGGCAGATAATAAGTATTCGATTTTGATTTGATTAAAGCTGGCTTAATATTTTATTCGAATATTTTGAGTTCAAGTTTAAGTTTGAGTTTCATTTGAATTAAGCTTTAGAATATTTCAAATTTGAGTCGACTTAATAATTTTGAACTTACAAACTTTTGAATCAAGTCAAATTCAACTTTAAATCTTTTTAATCGATTCAAACTCAATAATATTCGAACTAAATTCGTGTCATTTACAACTTTAGTCAAACTAATGATTTTACTCATGACCTCCGATCTTAACATCTTCATGGTTAACGATTTCTAAGTTGACAAAAAGTCTGATTTTTATCTTTCAGATGAAGAAAGTATATGGAATCGAGTAATTTCAATTGCGGGGATTCCAGCTTCAGCCATTTGCTATATAAGTTGTCTTTTTTTTGTTATTTTGAGTTCTGTTAATATTTGTTTTAAAGATATTGATATCATATATCATGTTACGTATGATATACATACTAAAGTAAACCCCTAAGCTATTTGAATATGCATATAGGGATATGTATACTTTGATTTTAATCGAATTAACCAATCCGATTAAACTAATTTGATATTTGATCAGGTAAAACAATTTTTAAAATCTTATTTATTTGTTAATTCAGTTTGAGATTCATACTCTCTTACCAGACCCATAGACCAAATTTTCACCAGGCCCGTATCCAAAACCCATGGACCTTAGGGCCTAGGCCCATGCCCACAACCTACCTCCAGCCCAGAATCTTATTGGGCAATTTTGGGTGGGAAAAAACCTAACTCACCTAATTTACAAAAATGACACGTATTATTATATAATTAATTCTAAAATAATTTTTTAAATTTTGAAATTCAAACTTTATTTTTTTAGAACAAAAGATTTATACATAACAATTACACTTAACTCATGGATTTGTTACATTGTTAAAAATAAATAATTATAATATCAAAACTGATGTTGGAATTAATTAAATATTTGTTATTATTATTATTATTATAATTAATAATGTAAATAATTTTAATTCATTATAATTCATTATGATAATAAATAATGCTATAATTAATTTCAACACTAATTCAACCTTAAAGCCATTTATTTTAATAATATAACACATGCATTAATTGGTGTCATAATTGTGTTTTTTTTATTATTCTATAAAGATAAATTACACAAATGATATCTCGACTATAGAGTAATATTTTATTGAGTTGTTGACTATTAAAAATTATAAAATGATCTCTTAACAATAGGACAACGTCTTGTTGAGTCTCTCTACTGTTAAAAATTACAAGATGCTAACTTAACTATTTATGTATTCCAAACTCGTCATTTTTCGTTTAAACTTGACGGTCGTATGAGTTGGATGTTAATTTATGGATTCGGATATGATAAAATCTAGTCTCATAATCGTTTGAGTTGTATTTTATATATCGATTCTCTGTTTATATTATATCGTTGAGTTAGTGCTTAAGATATTATGTCTTCAAGTCAGTGCTTTCAAGCAACGACGGTGCCGATAGATAACATTAAAATATAATTTTATCATATCCTAATTAACACATTAACATCCAGCTCAGGCGACTGTCAATTTTAAACAGAAAATGATGAATTTGAAACATATTAATAGTCGAGTGGCTATCTTGTAACTTTTAATCGTCAAACGATTCAATAAAAATAATTATTTTATAACTTTTAATAGAAAATTATACAAAATATCGTATTATAATCGAAAAAATTATTTGTATACTTTACTCTATACTAAAAGACTTAAGTTCAAATTTAAGATTAAAAAAAATTACTTTTACCACATATTTTCTCACATTTTACAAGGATTACGTCAGATGAGATTTAATTGTGATAATTGGAAAAGTTATTTTTAATAACAATAATTAAATTGGGTAATATCTTAGAAATTGTGTGGTCGGTAGAAGACACTACTCGAAATAGGATTACGTGACGTGTCATTTTTGGTATTAAAAGGCAACTGGTGCTGATGACGATTTGACGAATGCAATTGCTTAAGAGCAACCCGTATTGTACCTTTCAGCCTGCTAGATACTTATGGCGTAAGGAATGGCAATATTAGAAGATAATATATAAATTATAAAATAAAATAATTATTACAAAATATTTAATTTTATAAAAATTTAAAATCTATTAAGTAGCAACTGTTTTCATTCGTCTCTTTCGACTCATCCTCTAATCGTCTTATATAGATGGTTTAATAATTCTTATCATTTTTTATATCATTATCCAAAAATAAGTCAAAAATATTCGCACTAAATGTACAAATATTATATAAAAAGAATATCAATTTTAGCTCTCATTTGGAAAAAGAATATCAATTCAATGTCATCATAAAATATAATTAATTGAGTTTTTATTAATTTTAAAAATCAATTATATGATTCTATAAATATTGACTGTTATTTTTACTAATTTTTGATAACCATTATAATGATAATATATGTTATTAATATGAAGAATTTAATTAGTTGCAATTCATAACAGTTATAAAATAAATATAAAAATTTACAATTATAAATTATGTAAAAATTTAGAATATAAAAAATTATTTCCTTGATAACTTTTTAATCAATGTCTTGCTCTTATATATGCACTAAATTTAAGGTTTCTTGTCAAGTAGTATCTAATAAATCAATTGGTGCCATTGTTACTCCTAGTTCTAAGTAATCTCACATTGTCGAAAACATGTTGAGAGTTACTTTCAACTACGTCATCAGTAAATCAAGTAAATTTCTAACGAAATTTGATTTTACCTTTTTTTTTTATTATTATTGAGTTCATTTATAGATCAAATTTCATAAATGATTTATATGACATGATAATTAAATTGATAAAGAAATGTCATTCGTTCTTTCATACTCGTTACGAGATCAAATTATTATTTATGTAAATAAATTTCTTATATAATAGAAAAATATATTATGATAATGACTGACCTTATTTAGGTTCATCAATCTTAAATTTATTTATTACGAACAAATTTATAAATATTTACTCTCATTATATATTTTTAGAAAACATTACATTTTTCTATATTTTAAATTTTCACTTTTATTGAGGCACGATATTTATTTATTAAGTCTGTTATCATGCAAATATATATATAGAGAGAGAGAGAAACCTAGAACAAAACTACATAATTCAGATATTTCGAGATAAGATATCTTTATTACATTTTCAGAATCATTTACCGGTCACTAGTAGAATCTGGAAACTAGAAAGACCTACCAAGCCTAATCAATTTTTGGCCTATAAATACATGGCCGACGGCCCTTTAGTTTCAGAACCAGCGAGAAAATAAGAAGGAAATACTATCCCAGGATATATTAGCTTGAGTTTCTGAGTTTTTAGATTACAAGAATGGAAGGGGCTGTAGTATTGTTGGATTTCTGGCCAAGCATGTTTGGGATGAGAACGAGGGTTGCTTTGGCTGAGAAACAGATAAAATACGAGTACAAGGAAGAAGATCTGAGGAACAAGAGTGAACTGCTGCTGCAGATGAACCCTGTTCACAAGAAAATCCCTGTTCTCATCCATAATGGCAAACCTGTTTGCGAATCACTCATCCAGGTCCAGTACATCGACGAGGTCTGGAACGATAGAGCTCCTTTGCTCCCTGCCAATCCTTACAAAAGAGCTACTGCTAGATTTTGGGCTGATTTTATTGACAAGAAGGTACTTTCTTTTATTCTTCTTGTGTGTCCTTGGAACTATTTATGTAGAAACTCTACTATGTTGCTGAATTGTATATTATGAAATGCAGTTATATGATATTGGGACCAGAATATGGAAGACAAAGGGAGAAGAACAAGAAACAGCAAAGAAAGAATATATAGAGTGCTTGAAATTGTTGGAAGGGGAGCTTGGGGACAAGGCTTATTTTGGAGGAGATAATTTTGGATATTTGGATGTTGCTTTGATTCCATTTTATTGCTGGTTTTATGCGTACGAGCAGTGTGGGAACTTCAGCATTGAAGCGGAGTGCCCCAAGCTGATTGCATGGGCTAAGAGGTGCATGCAAAAGGAGAGTGTGGCCAAGTCTCTCCCTGACCAACAAAAGATCTATGAGTTTCTCCTGCAGATGAAGAAAGCATTTGGAATTGAGTAATTTCAATTCTGGGATTTCGGATTCCAGGCCTTTTCTTGTAATGATTTTGAATAATTTGGCATTTAGTTATGCCTGGCTGGCTGGCTTTGTATTCACCTTTTTTGATGGGGTTGTTTTTACACACTTAATTGTGTGTATGGTATTGTCATTTGAAATTTTTGGAGTTTTTACATTGAAAGTAATTGGTGTTATATATGCTCTTAATCTTTTCTTTTCAGTACTGTTAAGTGTTAATAAATGTTTTAAAGATATATATAGTTTTTAATATTACTCATAATATTGACTGTCTAAAGCAATAGTTTTTATCTCTTGATGAAAATTGGGATTGCATCAATCTTGTGAACAATTGGAAC